CTAGAAATAAGGAGATGCTGACAAATCCATCAACATCACGGTGGATTTCAATTCTCTTCTTTAATAAGTGAGAGACTAGACAGATTAAAAGGTAATAGAAATAGTATACTACTTTAATAGTACCATGGACACATACTGTCCAATATTTGGACATAAAATCCCTGCTGTTTCCCTGCCTGGGTGAGGCAAAAAAGTTACTGCATCCAGCTGTTAGCCAAAAGGTTAGAGGTTGGAGTCCACCCAGAAGCTCATTTTAAAAAAAAGAGTCATTGAAAACACATGGATTTCTATTCTGACACACAAGCATTTATCATGGGTCAAAACTGACTCAATGCTAACTAGATTTTGTGGTTATTTCAAAATAAAATCTGTGCCAAATAACCAGAGACCACACACTGTCTTAAGTACATTCTAACAAGGCTGCCCAGCAACTTTCAATAAAAGTCAAAGAATGGTACCACACAGACCACATTCTTTCACCCTACTGCAGTTAAATTAGAAAAACAATCAAATGGTTTTAAAAGTTTGGAATTTATAAACAAGCACAGGTCAGAAAAGGCACAACCACCGAGAGGAAACGTACAGAGGGTGGAATCCTACTTAAAATATACATGTTAAATCTCCTTGAGTGCAGCCAAAGCTGTACATCGAAGGAAACATATAGCTTTAAGTATTTCCCTAGGAAAAAAGAAAGGCTGAAAAAAACCATTGAGCTGAGCATCCAATTTCAACTGGAAAAAGTATACCAAAAAGAACCTCAGAAAAAAAATTTTAAAAGCAAACAAACAAACAAAAATTTTAAAAACAAACTAAAGAACCTCAGACAAACTGGAGCAAGTAATGAAGAGGAGACGTTAACGAAATAGGAAACAAATAATGTGGTTGTCCTTCTTGGAGGCCTTAATAAAACATGCAGACTTCAGCAAAATAGAGGAACCAGAAGCCAGTTGTCATTAAGTCGTCTCTGACTCATGGCGACTCCGTGGGTGTCACAGTAGGGTTGTGTTTTCAATGGCTGGTTTTTTTTGAGAAGACCACCAGGCCTTTCTTCTGAGGTGCCTCTGGGCCGACACGAACCCCCAGCATTTCCTTTGGCAGGTGAGCACGTTAACCATTTGCAACACCCAGGGACTGCAAAAGAGTGAAGTGTGTGAAAGTTCAGGGGAAAAATGACATTCGAAAGAAAAGCAGTGCGAAAGGAAGATCTTCCTCCAGAGTCCCCAGCACATCAGAAACTCAGCCCAGGTCTGGTTAGACTCTCTTCTCCAGCACCTCGACAGGACAACTGCGTGTTTGAGAAATGGCCAGGCAGTGAGTGATGGTGACACGGATGCCAGGGGGCTGGCCCACCAATTGTCTGTAAGCCTTGGAAGGGGTTTGTGAGAAGCAGCAGAGCTACATGGAGCCTGCAGACAACCCTGGGAGCACATCAGCCAATGCTCCCCTCAGCAGGGCAGTTACCTCCCTCAAATGGCCTTTCCTCTTAATCTGGGAGGGAAACAATGAGCTGGGAGAAAAACAAGGCCGATCTGGTCTATTTTTAAAGGTGTTCTACAGGCGGGCTCCTCATGAGAACTGGGAAGAGTTCTGTGGTTTGATTTTCTTCCACCCAGGATACCCTCTTCCTCAAAAAAAACACCTCACTGCCATTGGGCCGATTCCGACTCATCGTGACCCAGAAAGACAGAGCATAAGTGCCCCTGTGGGCGTGTGAGACTTTAAATCTTCACAAGGTTGGACAACCTCATCTTTCTCTTGCAAAGTGGCTGGTAAGCTTGATCCACTGACCATACGGTTAGCAGTTCAATGGGTAGCCTGCTATGCCACCAACCTTTAAAAGTCCCTGCATCCATTTTAAAGAGTCCTTCCCTGGACAAGCTGAAATGGCTGAACTATTGAAATCATTCGGGTGGGAGGCTGGGGCGTGGGGAGCGGGGCCCAGACTCATTGTTCAGCATTGCACCTGGCTGAGATGCCGGAATCTGGATAGTCAGCATTGGCGAGGCTCAAGGCAGGCGGAAAATATAGAGGCTTGGAGAGAAATGAAGAAGAAATGGCATGTGGAAGCATTGGTTGGAAGCTACCCATCCATACACACCCAACATCGCCTTCTGACTTAAATCCCAGAGCAGTTTAGTTTTGTCAGATAGAAAGAGGTTGGATGGTGCTTAAATAACCGACTTGGTTTCACCCCTTAGGAGAACACAGAAGCACTCCCACTGAACAGAGGGCCAGGCTCCCTCTCTAGGTGGCTCCTGGTTGAAATGGAACCGTTGTCGCATTAATCAGAATACCATGATGGCGACAAAATGAACTTGGAAGTTCAACCAGGAGGCTCCCTGTGGGTTTGAAATGTGAGTGCCATGGGCTTCATGCTTGGGAATCCACTAAGAGGCCATTACCACCCTTGATCTGAATCCCCTTTGGCCACACAGGAGCTGTGGGACATCAGAGGTTCTCTAGCCCCTCCAGCTCCAAGTGGCCAGGACAGTGCAGCCACCCTCACAACGGCACAAGATGAAGTCAATCAGATGGGGGTGTTCTGCCTTCTGGTCAACCCTTCTGCCTCTTCAACTCACCAGTGCACCCTTGCAAGGAGTAAAATGTCCGCCTTCGAATCTATTATAAAAATAGTCCGAACACCCAGCGTGAGCTGAAGACATACTTGCTTTAATCGCGTTGACAATTTGACAGCGTTGAGAACTATTTGGAACAAATTTGAAGCCCCCAAACACTCAAAGACGTTCACCTCACCAGACTCAGGAGGAGAATGGGCTGTTGGGGATGGCTGATGTTGTGGGTTTCATCTTAAGGATCCAGACCGGAAGCGCACACAAAACCCAAAGAAGCAAGTGAATTGGGAGGAACCACAAAGCAAAGCTCTCCAGTATGCTCGGCCAGCTTGACTGAGAAGTGGGGAGCCCTGGACAGCAGGACACTGAGTCTTGATCATAGTTCTGAGCTTATTGAAGGGTCAGTGACGTGATCAGGGACAGCCTCAGGGAAGCCACTGACAGCCTTGGCAAGGATCTAAGTACATATACAAAGCACCCCCAAACCCACTGCCATTGAGTTGATTCCCACTCAGAGTGACCCTATCAGACCGACTGGAACCGCCCCTGTGGGTTTCAAAGACTGAAACTCTTTAGCGGAGTAGAAAGCCTTGCCTTTCTCCTGAGGAGCGACTGATTGGTGGTTTCAAACTGCTCTTGGTTATCAGCCCAAAGTGTAAGCCTCTATGCCACAAGCAACAAAGGGCTTGGTTCACCTCCTTAATTCACAGGGAAGAAAGCCATGTTCATTGGAGACAGTGCCAGATCCCTGGTCTCTGACTTCCTGGAGCTCCCGACCCCTCTAAGACCACCAGTCCCTGCGTGCAACCATCCCAGAACACTGAGCTTCTAAAATATCTGTATTGACTTTCTTTGATGTCCCCAACCGTGCACACTGGACAGACCCTACCAAATGTGCGTGAGAGCGTGACTTTATAAGGCTGCTTTCATTCTTCCCTCAGGGATTTTGTGCCTTCAAAATTCAGATGCCTGCTCTGTAAGTAAGGCCTCTTGGTCTACCTGGGAGTAACCAACCACCAGTCGCCCTCTGAATGGATGAGCAAGGGGAACTTGCAGAAAGCACCCTAGGGAAGAGCAGTTGACAAAGCCCCTATCTTAGTGCACCCCTGCCCATGTATGAAATCCCTGACCACCACAGGATTCAATGCCATCATAGACTCCCACAATGCAAGTATTTTCTCACTGGAGGTGTCAGGTGGTCTTTACCTCTGGAGGACTGAGCATGGACCAAGCAAGAGTGGACTAACCCCAACACATGAGTGCACACACACACACATACGGCATTCCAGAACAGCAGCCCACCCGCTGGAAGATGGACAATCCACGTGGAGAGAGATGCAGGCAGCCAGCCCCCAGAACACTGTGGATGGTAGTCGAAAAGGCACCCCTAAACCCTGGTCCAGTGCTCCCAGATCTGCTTCGGAAAGATCACAGACATTGCCAACCCTGTGGAGTTTGCTGGACCCTGGAACCCCTGTGGCGCTATGAGTCAGAAATCGATGGGCTGGCCACAGGTGGATAAGCCCGTGCTTTCCCATTGTTCAAACAGGTGTTACAGTATGTTTTGAAATGACAATAAAATAAGACAACAGGTGGACAGCTAAGGGCAGTCAATGTTTTTAAACACTTAGCTCGAGCTATGCTTGACGGGGACCAGAGGTGCCCACCTGTCCATCCCAATCCCTTTCTGGGTTCATTAGCACAAACGTGACAGCGCTTGGATGCGGGAACTCAGTACCGCGCAGAGTTCCATCTCCGCAAAGGTGCGGAAGTAGAGACCTGGCTGACCAACGGTGACCAGGTGCCCCGGAACCACTAACCCCCCAGGTACACTGCCTGCCCAAAGAGAGTCGAGAAAAAGTGGGATACTCCCTCGCTCTGCCATCCCCTGAAAGTAGGATCCACTCTCTACGTGGGGAGTTTTTGGTCAAAAGTCCTCCTGCTGCGCACCTGGGAATTCTCAGCAGGAAACATTGGAAACTCACCCCAACTCTTGCCCAATTTCCCTCCAATGTTGCGCTTTGCCCCAAAATCCCTGCCCGGGGGAGCCTCTTGACCTTTGTCCCCCTGCATTTTGCATCACTCGTGGTGTGTCCGTCCGCAATGGCAAAAGCGGTGCCACCTTCAAAGGCTCGAGCCTGTTTTCCTTGGCCCTCTGTGGACACGTGGCTGGTGCCAGCGTTTGGCCTTCTGTGCCAGGCCTTCCTCACCTCCCTCTCCCGGACAGCGCCAGGGAGGTGTCCGCTGCCCCGAGGAGTGACCCCCCACCGCTAAGGCCAGGCGACGGCGGCTTTGAACATTTTGGCCAGCATGAGTGTCCTCAGATGTCTCCCTGAGCAGTCGCCCAGGCCTTTCCCTCGCTGCACCCACTAGGGTGGGATTCCCACTGCGGTGTCCCCGCGGGAGCCGCCTGCCCGCCGCCCTTACCTCGCTGACGATGGTGGAGTGGGACTGCGCGTAGCGCCAGCCGCCGCGGCAGGGCACCAGGGGCGCCGAGCGGTTGGGGAAGGCGGCCAGCGGGTCGGAGCAGCTGAGCGCGCCCGCCTGCCCCGCGCTGCCGTTGGCAGCCTCCAGCAGGTAGCGCTGGCAGCTGCCGTGGCCGCGGTGCTCGGGGGCCTCGGGCGCCGTGCGGTTCCACTCCTCCTCGGCGCTCCATCCGCAGCGCTCGGCCAGGGCAGCGGCGCTCGGCCCGCGGCACCAGTAGTGGTTGGGCCGGGGGCCCAGGAAGACCACGCTGACGAAGAGGAAGGCGAAGGTGATGCCTGTCAGGC